TCAGACGTTTGACAGATCTCATGATCTTTATGAGACTGGACAGACATTAGAAGATCATTATAAATTATCCACACCCATGTAGCGTGAGATTTAATCTACTACAAGCATGCCTAGAACCTGGCATAGGTGTAATATTCAAAGAATATATCCCTACAACAAGAAAATAGCACATAGACGGCAGAATAAGAAGGAACATTGGGAAAGAAATGTGAATATCTCAAGAACCAGTAAACTTTTGACTGTAATCTTTGTACCATCTAAAAGGACTGTTTCTAAACTTTATTTACGGTTTTGTTTCATTCTAAAAGCTTTAAAACTGACGAAGATATCGCTCAAACGGAGAAACACCTTATAATTCATATATATTTATTTGCTAATTCTTATAAAAAGTAATGTGACTCAAGGGAAATATATTGGCGCCCGGAAGTCTGGCGGACCGAATACCATATGATAGAGTATTCCCCGGCGTGGGCGGACAGTTTTTGATCGCATCAGAAGAGGAGAAAATGCTAAAAAACCGGATCTTGTATATTTTCCCATGATTCATCAAAACTTTTTGATTTTAAGCTCAAATAAATCGGAACAAAGGAATGATTGATGATGGCTGCTGCTTCTGCCCCCTCTCAAACCTCAGGTAGAAATAAAAGTTTAATTCTCCTCACCAGTGGTTGGTTCGTTTGCTCCAAAAGATAAAAGCAAATATTAGTTGTTAGCTAATATAAAACTAACACATCACTCTAAGCATGAGTTAGGGTCAGTTAGACACAGCTGAACAAAAGTGTCATAGTGAGAATTAGTGAGAATTTGGTGGAGGGACTTCTTAATTGAATAATCTCTCAGCAATACTTGGTTATCACACCACAGGAGAAAAGTGAGCGATCCTGAACCTGCTAGATAACTAGCATGCACTCTAAGCGATAGAAAGAGCAGTTTGGTCACTCCTGTATTGAGTAACATTTATTGTGGAATTATTTTATTAGTAGTTTTCCTTCAGTAAATTATCAGGAAAATCATGTCCTACTGAAAAGTGGTAAATCTAGGTGTAATATTGACTAGAAATCATAGTAAAGTCAATATAGAATTTTATCCATAGACAATCTATATGTCAGGTGAGATCGTTGGGGGGTGTTTATTGTTGTTTAGACAGTGAACAATTATATATTTGGCAACCAAAACACGGTCAGTATGCAAATCAGCACAAACTCTAATATCATTATTGGACGTAGGAAACTGGTTACATAAGGTGATCCAGCTCCACTCCTTCACCGCTGAAGTGGGTTGCCATATTTATGTTAGTGTCAGGGCACACACCCTGACTAGCTCGGACCTGGACCTGCATCCGGACCCGCTGTCAGGGCACACACCCTGACTAGCCTGGACCCGGACCCGGATCCAGACCCGCGCCCGGACCCGCATGCTCCACCCCGCATGCTCTGCGTGCCGCATGCTCCGGGCCCAGTTCCCACTTCTCATGTGACTTCTGGGTATCCCCGGAAGTTTTCGCCATATTGGGCCACTGTGGGAAAGTGAGAAGTTAACCTTCTTCTCACTTTCTTACCCACAGTAGGCAAGTGTATCTTACTTGCCTTTTATCTTATACATTTTTTTACCCACAGTAGCTATGCCCTGAGATGGGCTGTGTTTACAGGCCAGACTGTGGACTGTAGAGAGGGGTCATGGGGACCCGGGGTCCATCCCCTGACACCCGCATGTGTGCTCCACCCTGCATGCTGCATGCACTGCATGCTCCAGGCCCCAGTTCCCATCTCTCATGTGACTTCTGGATATCTCCGGAAGTTTTTGCCATATTGTGGCCACTGTGGGAAAGTGAGAAGTTAACCTTCTTCTGTCAAAACTGCAACAATCCGGATGCAGATGGGGCTCAACTAGCTCTGGTAGTGAACCGGAGCTTCTCCAGGAAGCCTGGGTCTGCTGGGTGTTACAAGAGGCTCTAAGAAGGACATGGCCTCAGTGACTTGGAGGGAGCACTGTGCCTCTGTTACATCTCAGTTAGTCCTTCATTTCAGATGTCTGGGGTATCTTGTAAGAGGGGAACACAAATCACTCATAGGGGAACTTTGGGGTAAGTTTTAGTCAAGATTAGAACTGAGGTACAAGGAGTTCTAATCTACAGGTATATATAGAGGGAGGAGGAGAAGGACTTTAGCCAAAGTCCGAGTGATACTAAAAGGTACTGAAAGGTTCTGAACAATATTTTTAATGGGGAACCAAGGTGTTGGGTCAAGGAGGGCAGAGTAGAAGGCTGGAGAATAAATGGGAACGAGAAATGGGTAAGGGGAAGTTAGCTGACTGAATTGAAAGAAGACATCAGTTGTACTATAAGTGGAAGATGACTAATTAAGATGATGAGAGCGGGGTCACCGGAGGATACAGGTAGCTCCGAAGCCAGAGTTACATATCTGAGAAATGTTGGGTGACTCCACTAAATGAAATGGAAAGAGGAAGGGTTTAAAAGTATATAACAAGATGTTGGGGGTCATTCGGTTGGTCAGTCAGTCGGTCAGAGCGATCTGGAGGTTCCAAATGTTCCAACTCAGGAATGAGCTTCTGGGATGGAGGTGGCAGAGGAACAAATGTGCCAAAGTCCAGGCCAGAGCTGATACAGTTGTGATGGAGGACATTGGGAAGTAGGGAGGTATGGTGTAGGGGATGATGAGGTTGTTAGGAAGGTGCAGTGGGGTGGGAGAGTGCGGGGTTGGGATTCCAGGATATGACACAAAGGTCAAGGAACACAGCATTAATAATGACTAGGATTCTCAGGAACGTCCTTATCGCTGCGAACTGACACACAGTCTCCAACAAGCCTCAAGCATATGACCTTGGAAGTGATCATGAATGCTGGGATGAATAAATGGTGTCCAGATGATCCATGGGAGGCTGGGAAATGTGCCTTGAGGTGTCATAACAGGAAGAGTGGAATCATGGGAAATTCAGAGGTGTCAAGTCAGGTGGTGGACAACCAGTGGTTCTGTCATATCCATACATACCCAATCCCGATCCAACTCCTGGACCCCCATCTTCACCACCTCTGGAGTCCTACCCTACTGCCATCCGTTCTGATGTTCACCTTCAGACCTGACACCACACCACCTCTTACCCCTCATGCCACCTCCACCCTTCTGTCCTTCTCCTACCCTATCTGCATCCGCTCCAATACTCACCTCGGACCAAACCTCACTCCTCTCGCCACCCTCCTCCTCTTACTCATCATGACACCTCCACCCTTCCATCACTCTCCTACCCTTCTCCCATCCACTCCGATACTCACTTCGGACTGAACATCACTCCTCTCACCACCCTCCTCTTACTCCTCACGACACCTCCACCCTTCCATCACTCTCCTACCCTTCTCCCATCTGCTCCGATACTCACCTTCGGACCTGACACCTTTCCTCTCCTCCACTCCCCCCCGTTCCTCTCTTCCCTCTCCTTCCTCTGACCCTCTCCCACCAACCCTCCACCAAGTTACGACCTTCCACCACTGTCCCTTACCCTGTACTCGGACACTGCTTGTACCTTCGCTCCAAGATTCTGTCATAGTTCTGACCTCGGACTTTGACTCCACCTCGGCTTAAGTCCATTGCATTGGTGACCTCATACTACATAAACACCATTGCCAATATTCCTCAGACTTTCAACCCCACCTCTGTAACCTCTGCAACCTCTGTAACCTCTGAGCTCCATGGATCATATTCGGCACTTTCGCCGTATGTAATGTATCTTTCGCATTTTCCCCTCATCCTTATTTGGACTGCTGCTTCTCCCCATTCTAGCCAGTTAGTCATCATCCCCACTTCACCTCACCCTCCTGCCCCTCTGGGCTTCGCCCTCCCTATCTCCTTTCAGATGTACCACAGGTTCTGACCTATGACCTTCAGTACTGCTCTGCTTCCACCACCCCTTTGTTCCCATTCAGATGCCTTTGTTCCAATTTGGACCCCCTTTGTTTCCCTTGTACTTTCATCTCCCTATTATATACAGGCGCTTGTACATACTCGTTTTGGACCTTCAGTCTAAAATCAACCTGAAATGCCCCCTAGAGACCTCCTGCTCGCTGCCTCTGAAATTAAGGACCAAATGGACAAACAGCAATGGCACAGCGCTCTGCATGAGTCGCTGAGGCCAAGGTCCCTCCTTGCTAAGTCTCCAGTTCCCCTCTGGAATTGTCTGCCCTTGCCCAGTTCTAACAGGTTCCAGAAATTCCGGAGTGGTGACACTAGGAGAGGTCCAGAGACTGATCTGTAGCACCCAAAGGAACAAGATGTGAAGATTTTCAGCAAATCATACACACATCTTACATTGACACCCCAAGCCCTGAGGCCTCTGGCACATATTAACAGGTAGACACAGTTGTTACATTTGGACATAGATGTTACACATGGACACTTCCATTACATGAAGACAAGAGATTTGAGTTGTGCATTGACAGTACCTACTCATCACCAGGTGCAGCACTGTTGCCTCCATGTCTTCCATGACCTCTGTGATTCCTGTTGCCCTTGGCTCCACCTCTCTGGCCTCTCCTTCCACGACTAACTTCATGAGAACTGTCACTGCTGGGACCATCATCTCTGTGGGCCTGGCCCCTGCGCTCATGCCTTGTCCTCCCTCCCTCATCCAAGCTGACTAGGGTGGTTGCCACTTCAGTCTCTACATCTGGTTCTGGTCCTTGTGCAAAATTGTCAGTACAAAAATATTAGTAAAAGTTGGCTGAACACATGAGGCACTTCAGAGGAAACATTTGGACTTCCTATAGCAAATTTTTAGTGTGAAATTCCACCTGTATAAATTCTTGCAAAGAAATCCGATGGAAAACTCACATTAAGATCCATTTCTTCAAGAAGAGCACTCAGGCCCAAAGAAAGATGTCCAACTTGTCCTGATGTGTGTTCACCCCCTGCCCCTGCAGGAGCACCAAACAACAAATGTTGATACCAATTCATGGTCTCATGCATTGGTTGGACATTGGCAGTTTTCTCTCATTGAAGCACTGTAAAGCTAAAACCATATAGGTTAAGAAGGATATTGACATAGTTAGTGGCACTGGGCTTGCCAGAGCCAGAGGCCATCTCAGTGTCCCCAGATAAAATGAAATAGACCTATTTGATATAATTGGTCAGCATGAGATCATCAAGTGGAATTTCAACTATGGCATACCAGCATTGAAACAATAGCCAAAGTACCAGGCATGATTTCAGTTACCTCATATGTGATGCCTAGTGCCTTTTGTGATGCACATCCTTTGGCAGGCTCCCAATCCTCTAGCTCAGGAGATCCTGGAAGGGGGATGGAAGAAACAGGGACAATGAGTGCAGAAGGACCAAACACAAGGACAATTATTGCCTTGTTGTAGCACTGTGAGTGGAATATTAGGTACCTGCGAGTGGGGTACTCACAGCTGCAACAATTTGTGAGCAAAACACATGCTGACAATGGGATTGGTCATTGTCTGGGAATAAGAACAAGGGCAAGTGGTCGATTGGGTTGGCAGAATCAGGGTTTACTCCTAGATATTCCTGAAGTTGTTCTGGAGTTGGGCCATGGCCTGACTTTAGCACTGGTACACTAAGGTCCATGCCAAAGAGTTGGAGACTTGATTGACGCAACTGATTCATCATTTGTCACCTTCATGCTCCAACAGTGAAAACAAACTAGTTATGCCTAATTAGTGAAAGCTGCAAGGATAATTTCTGAGACATGAGTGCATGCCTTTGCAGACCAAGGCATAGCCCCAGATTGGTCACTGAGCTCCTTAGTTAATATAGGATATTTCATTTCAAAGACTTTGTGAACACAGAATTGATTGAAATTTCCAACAGACAAAAACACTGTTGCTGGTGCCCATGAATGGAAATCACTGTCTAGTTCCGCCATAAGGGAACCCTTTGTCAAAAAGGGAGAATACAAAATAGCATAGAGAGCTGCATATTTTGTGATTGCTGCCTCGATACTTTTGATGGTGGATGCATCACCAGGAGTAGGATCTTCACTATCACTGCCATTATTGGCATCTCCAACAAGTTGATTATCATCCACTTCATCAGTATTGATGGGCAGATCAGTAGGTGATGGTTGCACAGGTGTAGAGCTAGATGGCACCTGGAAGCCACGGGATTGGAAGGTAGTAGAACTAGGTGAGGCAGACATAACAGTTGTGCGCAGTGAGAGTATCATACAGATTGTACACACATCTCATGAGTTGTGGCGTTGTTTTATGGATAGACAAATAGCCAAAATTGAATTTACATTACTTAAATGGCTCACGGTCATAAGGAATGACACTGGACAATGAGGGATAATGGCTCAATCTCAAATTTATGATAACAGTGCAATACAATTGAAGAGGCTGGAAGGGGATGTCAATGTGCATGCCTATTGGTATATGGCGGAGCATGCAATGGGTTAGGAAAATACATACATTGATACAATAATAAAATCCCTATCATGAATGTACTTGGTCCGAGAGCCTCTTAGAGCCAAAACCAGCTGACCACATTGGGTGCTGGGGCCAGCCCCTAGACCCCATCAAGGTGGGCTCTTCGTCATGACCCAACATATCCATCACTTCCATCAACACATCCTAGTGCCACTTGGCCTGTCCTGCCCACTATCATCATCATCCATCCACCCATCCATCCACCCATCACCCTCATCCACACTTCCTCCCCTGCACACGTACCTTCCAACCTAGGTTGCCCACTTCATTGTTGTCCGCTTGCCAGCCAGACAGCTTGCTAGATGGCTGGATGGCCTTTTCTCTTTTGTCTGCTTGTGGACTATTGTTCCTCCTTTTGTTCCTTGCTTGCCTTTTGTTGACCAAGTTTGCCGATATTAACTATTTGTTTCTTTCTTCATTCATTAATATCACGCTTGATCTGCCACTCCTTCTGGGCCGGTCCTATTTAGTTACTTGTGTTTATAATGCATGTAGGTTACACCGGATGTACCTCAGTTCGTATATCAACTTGGATTCCCCCTCTAGACTCCTCTCCTCATTGTAAGGCTTCTGTCTGAAATTGGGACACCAACATAAGAACGAAGCGCAGCGCTCCACCCAAGTCGCTGAAGCTAAAGTCCCGCCCCTCCGACCTTATGAGCCCAGTGAAGGAGCGGAGCTGGATCACCTTATGTAACCAGTTTCCTACGTCCAATAACAATATTTGAGTTTGTGCTGATTTGCATACTGACTGTGTTTTGGTTGCCAAATATATAATTGTTCACTGTCTAAACAACAATAAACACCCCCCAACGATCTCACCTGACGTATAGATCGTCAATGGATAAAATTCTATATTGACTTTACTATGATTTCTAGTCAATATTACACCTATATATACCACTTTTCAGTAGGATGTGATTTTCCTGATAATTTACTGAAGGAAAACTACTAATAAAATAATTCCGCAATAAATGTTACTCAATACAGGAGTGACCAAACTGCTCTTTCTATCGCTTAAAGTGCATGCTAGTTATTTAGCAGGTTCAGGATCGCTCACTTTTCTCCTGTGGTGTGATAACCAAGTATTGCTGAGAGATTATTCAATTAAGAAGTCCCTCCACCAAATTCTCACTAATTCTCACTATGACACTTTTGTTCAGCTGTGTCTAACTGACCCTAACTCATGCTTAGAGTGATGTGTTAGTTTTATATTAGCTAACAACTAATATTTGCTTTTATCTTTTGGAGCAAACGAACCAACCACTGGTGAGGAGAATTAAACTTTTATTTCTACCTGAGGTTTGAGAGGGGGCAGAAGCAGCAGCCATCATCAATCATTCCTTTGTTCCGATTTATTTGAGCTTAAAATCAAAAAGTTTTGATGAATCATGGGAAAATATACAAGATCCGGTTTTTTAGCATTTTCTCCTCTTCTGATGCGATCAAAAACTGTCCGCCCACGCCGGGGAATACTCTATCATATGGTATTCGGTCCGCCAGACTTCCGGGCGCCAATATATTTCCCTTGAGTCACATTACTTTTTATAAGAATTAGCAAATAAATATATATGAATTATAAGGTGTTTCTCCGTTTGAGCGATATCTTCGTCAGTTTTAAAGCTTTTAGAATGAAACAAAACCGTAAATAAAGTTTAGAAACAGTCCTTTTAGATGGTACAAAGATTACAGTCAAAAGTTTACTGGTTCTTGAGATATTCACATTTCTTTCCCAATGTTCCTTCTTATTCTGCCGTCTATGTGCTATTTTCTTGTTGTAGGGATATATTCTTTGAATATTACACCTATGCCAGGTTCTAGGCATGCTTGTAGTAGATTAAATCTCACGCTACATGGGTGTGGATAATTTATAATGATCTTCTAATGTCTGTCCAGTCTCATAAAGATCATGAGATCTGTCAAACATCTGAACTTGTCACCTGTTTGTTGACTATTCTGATAGATCATTGTTTTATTCTTTGAATTCCAGGCTCTTCTATGCCCAGGGCTTACACAGGCACCTAGTAACCTGTAGAATATTCCCAGTTCAGTCTAATCATGTGACTTGTATTCCAACATTCCTTCTCATAACATACGCTCTTCACTGATTTCTGTCAGGGCACACCCCACCTGACCCAGCACTGCACCCAGCGCCACGCCACCCTACTCTGCTCCTCCCGCTACTACACCTCGTTCCTCCTCTCCCTTTTTCTTCTTTGTCTCTATTTCTATTCCACAGTCAATTTCCCTTTTCTCTATGTATCATCACACACCTAATACTGCTCCCCCGATCGCTGCACCCACTGCATGCATCCCTGCCTACAGAGCGGCACACCTTCAGGATCTCCTGTGGAGACACCCAGAGAGGTCCAGCTGTGTGTGGAGATGACATGGCTCCCCCCACATGACCCTGACCACATGTATATAATAGCACCTGGGGTGGGAACAGAAGAAGCAGCCTTCTTCTCAACTTCCCACTTCAGACTAAGTGGTCGGGGATGCTCCCCCATGACGGGATTGCCACTACACACAGCCAACATCTGTCCCATCGGGTCCCTTGTGCTGGGACTTCGCCGCTTTCGGAGCTGTCCCTGACAGCTTCTCACTGTACATAACTTAATCTAAAATGTCATCTGAAAATAGGTTTTGCCCCCCTCATGAACCCCCCCTGTACCCTGTGTTTGGCATTTCCCAAAATGATGTTGGAGTTACAATGATGCATGACTCACTAACCAAACTCACATGATCTTACTTTTCGTTTCTGTTGTATTGATACTGTGACTACATTGTATATAGGTAATTGTTTTGGGCTATTTTCCTTTCCCCCTCAGTTCTTCATTTACGGAGACTAAGGTCAGTATGATTGGTTTTTGTCATATCCATTCCTGGCCATCGACTTCCGGTCCCTCCATTCCCTCCAGTCTAACTCCGCTCCTTCTTCACTAACCTCAGAGCTCCCGTATTCCGCAATCCTCTCGGTACCCCTCGATGGTCACCACCCCCTCATTTCAATTTATTACCTACACCTCCCTAAGTACGGAGCCCCGAAGACTTCCGGACAGCTCCGACGTCCGCTAGCGCACTCCCGTCCCCACTGGGCAATACACTCACCTGCCCTGCAGAGCCCACCTTCGGGCCCATCCCTCCTTTCCGTTTCTGGGTTATCGCCTGCCTTTCCGCTAACCCCGCGACCCGACTCGTCGGTAATATTCAGTTGGCTAATGCTTTAACCCCGTTAGCTCCGCTCCGTTCGGCTCCGCCAATTGCGGACCCGTCTTCGCTGTAACCATATATATATCCCACTTGTACATAGGTTACACGCCAGTAATAAAATCAACTAGAGTTACCCCCCTTCGGTTCTGATTGCCAGTCAGTAAGTTAGGGCACAGATGTGTCACTAGGCACAGCGCTCTTGGCAGAAGTCACTGAGGCCAAAGCCCTCCACTACGGAGACACTCCTTCGTCTCGAATCTGGTCTCTGACAGTTTTAGTTACTAGTTACATTACTTACTCTGTATTATAGCTTCCGCATTAGGTTAGTATTAACCATAGTAATTCAGTTCTTCATTTATGGAGACTGAGCTTCCGCATTAGCCCTCCTATTAAATGACACCCCTTGTCCTCCTATATTCTGCCCACACACAATTTTGGTAACAGTGTACAATATCCATTCAAACTTGAATAGAGTATTTTGTTTGTTGCTACACAAATATGGAGGTCATTTGCAATGTCATACAATGTGCAATGACATTTGGTACACTTGTTGTAACAGTGAGCCAAAGCATTGTAATTTATTGAGATGCATTGCAACACGTTGCAATGCATGTCATGTGATGCAGCAGATCTGCAACTTTTCCGACAGTTAGCTCCGCTCCACTCAGTCCCATCATTCATGGGCCCACCCTCACTGTAACTATATATACATAACTTGTAGATAGGTTACACCCCAGTGATAAAATCGACTAGAGTTAATCCCCTTTTTAGTTCTTGCTGCCAGTAAGTAAATTAGGGCACAAACGTGTAACTTGGCACAGCGCTCCTGGTCTGAGTCACTGAGGCCAAAGTCCTCCACCACAGAGATGTATCCTTTGTCTCACCTCCAGTCTCTAACACTTGCCAACAATCTCAAGGCCACCATTGTTTTGGGTGATCACACACAATGGTGGACTTCTGCATGTGAATATATCGACACTGTCATTGGGATCACATGTTGCAAGGCTTTGTGGAGTTATGGGGACGAGGGCGTCGGGTATAACACATGTAAGGATGTGTTTGAGTGGCTGGACGCTGTTTATGCTGAGTGGACTTACATTCCATTGGTCTGCTTGTATGAGCTTGCACACGAGTGCTATCTGAAGTCTCTTCCAATGGACCTCATTATCCCTCCAGCACTGGCCACTTTCTGCCCATCCCTCTCCCCTCTTCCCTTGATCTTGCCGCCAACTCTGCACAAGCCAACAACGAGTCAGAATCGGACTCTGAAACTGTCACTGTTGTGTCAATACCCATTCCCGAACGTGTCAAATTGGAGATGCCCTCAGCACATCAACATTCTGTTGGTTGTGCGGCCTCCAACACCGATCTGAGTCCCACCGCTATGCGCTCTGATGCCAATGCATCACCAGCTGTGGCTCAGCTTTCATCCCTTCCTGCCAAATCGATGCACACATCACCAGCACTGTCTGATGCATCACCAGTACTGTCCGATGTGTCATCAACATCGTTCAACACATTGTCCAACATATCAGCAACATCGAAACGTCATCGTCGTCGCCAAGGCCAGAAGAAGCACCGATCTGAGCAGTGTTCAACTACATTCCCTTCCCCCATCACTCCTATTCTGTCATTGCCCACCACAATTTAAAATCATCTAAAAATATTCCATTTCCTATTCTGACATATGCTGCGGTTGCTGGAAATAAATTGCAGCCTTGCCTTTCCTTCCCACTGCTCACTGCCCAACCTCACAGTCTGCCAATCAAGATTCATCGAGGTTCAACTAAGGACCCACCTTAGTTTCCATTCACCCAGCATCTCCACCATCATCCCTTCCAGATCAGATTTTGAAGACCCAAAGGTCATTCTAGCTGGGGGGGGGGTGTAAGGAATGGAGGGTGGAGCAGCTGTTTCTTTATTCATCTTTATTCTTGTTGTATACAATGTAAAACAACTGTATTTACATTTGTATGGCTTGAGCTTGGGTAAAGGGTTCTTTACTCTTTACCCTCACCCCTGTCAAATCTAAGCTCAATACAACCTATGATCTTGACAGCCAGAGGACTGAGGAGTCACCCAGGTCGGAACCCACACCGACCTTACAGCTTTGGCCTCAGCAACTTAGACCAGGAGTGTTATAGGAATGGACCTAGAATCTTATGGTCCGTGACTATGAACAATCAAACCTTTGGTCCCTGCACCTTTATTTCATAGTCAAACCCCATGCCAAGCTTTCCCACTGGGTTTTGGTGCTGGCTGGGGAATTTGTTGAGTTTCAAGGGACTTCCCTTGACCATTGTGACTTTTATATTAGAAGTCATATGATGTGTAAGGCAGATGCCGAAAAATGTCTATCTGTTAGAATGGGGCGGAAACGGACGACTCCGGAGTGGAATCGGAGACTTAGCGTGGAGGGACCTTGGCCTCAGCGACTCAAGCGGAGCGCTGTGCCATTGCTGTTTGTCCATTTGGTCCTTAATTTCACAGTAGGTGAGCAGGAAGTCTCTAGGGGGCATTTCAGGTCGATTTCGGACTGAAACAAGACGAGTATGTACAAGCGCCGATATATATAAAGAAGGGGCAAAAGCACAAGGAGAACAAAGGGTGACCGAATCGGAACGAAGACGTCCGAATGGGAACAAAGGGTAGAGGGAGCGGAGCGGTACCGAAGGTCATAGGGCAAGACCTGTGATACGTCCGAAAGGAGGTAGAGAGGGCGAGGCCCAGAGGGGCAGGAGGATGAGGGGAAGTGGGGGTGATGACTAACTGGCTAGAATAGAAAGAAGCAGTAGTCCAAATAGGGATGAGGGGAAATTGCGAGAAATACATTACAAACGGCGAGAGTGCCGGAGGCGGTCCGCGAAGCTCGGGGTTGCGGAGCTTACGGAGGTTATGGAGGCGGGGTTGGAAGTCCGAGGAATATTGGCAATGGTGTTTACGTAGTATGAGGTCACCAATGCAATGGACTAAGACCGAGGTGGAGTCAAAGTCCGAGGTAGGGACTATGACGGAGGCTCGGAGTAAGGTACGAACGGTGTCCGAGTGCGAAGTATGGAACAGCGGTGGACGGTCGTAACTTGGCGGAAGGGTGGTGGAGGAGTAACGGAAGGAGGAGAGAGGGGACAGGTAAGGAAGAGGGAGTGGCGGAAAGGAGAGTAGTCAGGTCTGAAGGTGAGTATCGGAACGGACGGGGGAAGCGTAGGGGATGACGGGAGGGTGGAGGTGTTGTGAGGGGGAGCGGAGTTGTAGGAAGGGTGGCGAGTGGGGCGATGTTCGGTCCGAGATGAGTATCGGAGCGGACGGAGAAAGGGTCGGAGAGGTAAGAGGAGGGGTGTGTTGCCAAGACCGAAGGTGAGTATCGGAACAGCAGCGGTAGGTTATGACTCCGGAGGTGAAGAGGGTGGAGGTCCGGAAGTCGGGTCGGGGTCGGGTATGCACGGATATGACACTATCCTTATCTAATACATAACCCACAAAACCTTGTACTGCAATTGTAACTGCCACACCATTGTGCCACCACTGTAAGCCTTCTCTGTAACATCTGACTTGGTCCATATCGATGTCTACATCGATATTCTTACAATCTGTGAGAAAACCTCAATGGCCCAGTGAGTGCTCAGACACTGGACCTCACCCTTCCTGCTCCCACCCCCCCCCACAGGGTGGTTGAGCCCCCATTCCTACCCTTCCTGTAGTACCCTACTGGGTCCTACAACCCTTCCTCCCTCCTTGGGAGGGAGAGGTGACTCAGGCAGCCCCAGGATGCCTGGCCACGTACCTGCGGGCCCAAATTCCCACGGTCACTCACTACCGTGCACTGGTCAACCAACCTGCCTGTCCCAACAAATCCCACTACTGGTACGCTCCCCTGAGTGCCAAGTAACCGATAGTCAACCACTGGGCTACTCCCTCAAGGAGTGCCAACTACCCATGCTACCGGTACACTCACATGAGCACCAAGTCACCGCTAGCTGACTGTTAGGTGGCTCCCTCAAGGAGCCCCCACTATACCCGCTGCCAGTACGCTCCTTGGAGTGCCAAGTTACCGTTAGCCCACCTGGCCTCAGATCTCCTCCTGCTCTCCCCTCAATGGCTACGCAGCCACCTCCATCCGTGAGCAGAACGGCTCAGGTTGGGTTCCCTGGAACTGTCAGGGTTCAGCACCCTGCCTTAGGGTGCCCCGGACTCCCCACCTACTTTACCCCCTTTTATTCTTTGACTGTTGCCTTGTTGTTGCCTTTGTGTGTTGTGTACATGCACGCGCAGGGGATAGCGTGGGAACTTTCTGAGCGAGCAGCTCGCCCAGAATGTTCCCACGCTTACTGGGCACTGCCACCTGGATGTTCCCTCTGGGTCACACTACACAACTCTAGGAGCTGTATAGTCGTGGGCATGTGACCCATTCCTTTATATAGCAACCATGCGGGGAGATGAGACCTTTACCCTTCTTCTCATCTCATGCCCCGCATAGGCAAGTGTATATATTATCTTTCCTTTTACTATACATCTCATGCCCCACATAGTGTGAGGACAGGTTAGATGGGGGTTGAGGTCAGGGAGCCCCCAAGTCCGAGGCTGGGCCCTGACAGGAACCCATTCCTGTAACAAGGAGCACTGTGCCTAGTTACATGTCCATGCCCTAATTTACTACCTGGCAAAGAGAACTAGAAGAGGGAAACTCTAGTCGATTTTATCACTAGGGTGTAACCTATCTACAAGTTATGTATATATAGTTACATAGGGGGCAGGCCCATGAATGGCAGGACCAAGCAGAGCAGAGCTAATGGAGTTACATGTTAGCTGACTGAATATTACCGACAAGTCAGGTTATGGGGTTAGCAGAGTGGCGGGCTATAACCTAGAAATGGAAAGGAGGGATCAGCCCGAAGGTAGGCTTGCAGGGCAAGCAAGTGAATTGCCCAGTGGAGGCAGGGGTGCGCTAGCAGATGTTGGAGCTGTCCAGAGGCCTTCAAGACTCCATACTTAGGGAGGTGTAGGTAATATATTGGATTGAGGGGGGTGGTGACCATCAAGGGAGTCAGAGGTGAATGCAGAATACGGAGGCTCCAAGGTTAGTGATGAAGGAGTGGAGGTAATCTGGAAGGACTGGAGGTGGTGGAGGACAATGGCCATGAATGGATATGACAATATACACCTAATAATATTTGTCACTTACGGCCACTGCCCTTTGCAGTCCCACTTAAGTCCCCCACTATAGTGTGAGTGTAGCTGCTGAGCACTAACACCTTACCAGGCTAGTCACAGCAACACTCCCTGAACCCACTTTAGAGGCACAAGTTATGGTGATGCAATAGCTTGAATCCACAGTTGGTGTTATAGAGCATGCATAATTGTCCGGAAGTGGAGAAGGGACTCAGTAAGGAGGGACCTTGGCCTCAGCAACTCAAGTGGAGTGCTGTGCCACTGCTTTGTTGTCTAAGGTGGTCCTTAACTTCAGGTTAGCAAGGGGGAGTCTCTTGGGGGGACAATCCAGTCGATTCTGGTTCTAGTCATCGACTCTAGTTGTCAACTTCAGACTAGGGGTACAGGAAACTAAGTACAGAGTGTATATATAATAATACAGGAGTGGAGTCAGAGAACCCAAAGGGAACAAAGGGAACTGGAAGGAGACAAAGGGGGACCGGACGAGGGAACAACCCCAAGGGTCAAGGGTTGGAACTCTATGGTGCTTCCCAAAAGGGCAGGGCCAAGAGGGGAAGGAGTGGAGTGGGTTGTGGGGAATGACAGCTGACTAATATGGAAAGGAAACAGCTGTCTAAATAAGGAAGAAGCAACAAGAGGATTAAATGACACCATACAGTAGAGACTGCAGGGTCCAGAGTCAGAAGTCAAAGTCCAGAATATTGGCTAGATGTAATAAATGAAATGCAATAAGGAATACAAGGAGATAAGATGGAGGAGGAGGTCAAAGTCCGGAGGTGGAGATGTGACTGGAGTTCTGGAGGTGGAGGTGCAATGGGGTTCCAGTACAGGAGTCCGGAGCTGGAGGTGTGGAGCATCACAAGCTCTGGTCTGGAAGGTACGAGGTTGGGATCGGACCTGGAGTAAACCGGAGTCGGACCAGAGGTAGTGTTGGACGTTGTTGTGGGGACAACTCTGTGCACCACAAAAAGTTGGATTCTGTGGAATTTGGCCACCAACATACACCACATACCCTCTGACGCTCCCGATGCTCATTCTATCACTATCCAACACTCCATAAACTCATTCCTTATTTTTTCTTATTTTCCCCATTGTTCCCAACAACCCCAAGCAAAATTCCCATGCCCAACCATGCCACCAATTTCACCCCCTCTCCAGATCTCCATAACCACACATACAACCCAGCCATTTTTCTACCCAATAGTGATGCTGTACCATCCTTCTTCACCCCCGGAGCATTTCCCAGAATGGCAATCCCATACCCGGATGGTTCAGCATGGAGTAGACTCTCACATGGTCTTGACAGCACCTGTCAATGGCCACATCTCAAGAACTACTGCACCAAATGGGATGAATAAGGGCTCGTTGGAAAGCCGGAGACGAGGAGGTTGCTAACGGGAGAATAGGCGGGCGCTGTGGCGAAGTGTTGCAGAGTTAATTTTCACAATTCCTATTTCAGACCCATTATCATATATTCCCCATTCA